TCACATGCGGTCTTCGCATTGCCGAGTAGTAGAAAGAAAATTGAGTGTTTCTGAATGAATTCAAGCGTGACGTCATCCATGTTTTGATGTTGATTAGTGTAGACTGTGGCCGTCATTGCTGTGCCAGTACTCAGCGACATCGCTTTGAAGTCCCACCAATAACACAGTGAAATCTTTATTCCATGCACATCTGCTTTTGGCTAACAACTACTTTTCTCCTTGAGAGATCCTGCGAGGGATGTGTGCATAGTTTACGCAAGGACTCCAACACTCGCTACCAACCACAAGATCTCACAAAAGTTCTTTCGCTGTGTACAAGGAAAAGAAAACTCAGTCACGGTCATTCGGTATGACTTGTCAGACGGGTCCAACTCATGAGGCATCCTTCACAAAAAATTTTTTCCGATAACCGAGATTGCGGAGAAGCATGGCAGTTGTCAGTCAGGTGGAGCCTAGAGAGGTTGCCAACTCACTGTTACGGTAGGCTGCGCCTCCTGGAGGTTGTTAGGGCGGAAGGGTGGTTCACCATTTTAGGAGGATGACCATCCCAGAATGAAGTGGACGACCGAGACGGAAGAAGGACGAAGATGATAACTGATATAGATGATACAAGGCTATAAAAGAGGTTGTTCTCAATAAAACGAAGATGATAACTGATATAGATGATACAAGGCTATAAAAGAGGTTGTTCTCAATAAACATTCATTCCGCTCGATCGACTGGACTCGTCAACTGGCGATCAGGATATCGACTCAGGAGAGAAGCTGAAGAGATCCAGGGAGCCGGACAAGCCAGAGCAGTACAGCAGAAGAAGCCGATGAACGACGACAAGAGTGGAATCGGCAACACAACCACCAGGGCAGTGGGGGTGCAAGAAACTTCGCCGGCAGGACACGATCCAGGAGGGGCTTACGATGCATATCGAGGCCGTAGCCCAGGGCCATATGTGCCCGGGACCGCCTGGAATACGTGATGGAGGCTGTTCCAGAACTTCCTGGCATTAAGGAGGGTAACGGATGAATCAGATAACGTCTCATCTTCCTCCAAGAGGTAGGAGCCTCCAATTATGAACTTTTAGAGTCTCTGTTACAGGGTAAAGGACCGGAGATGGCAACGTTACTGGAGCTTAAAGCGGCGATGGAGCAACAACTCCAACCGAGGAAGCTGCTGATGGCGGAAAGATTTGGACTAATGTCCAAGTCGCAGAAGGCAGGCCAGACGCTGCAAGGTATTATGCGGAGCTCCAGAAAGCCGCCAGTGCATGTGGATTTGAAAGAGTAAAAGACATCAGGGACACGATGGTAGCAATGGTGTTCATAGGTGGGTTAGCTTCAGTTGAAACTAGGAAGCGGCTCCTGGAGAGAGAGGAGTTGACTTCAAAAGAGACGTTAGAAGCAGCCGAGGCGTTCGAGAGAGTAAGTAAGAATGCACCACATTTGAAGCAAGGGATAACGGAAGTAGGGGTAGCTGCTGTAGTGTTGAGGGACGCGAAATCTACACCGAGAGCGAGAGCAGAGAGACGGGAGCCGAATACGGTCCGCAGACCTGCGTCAAGTAGGCCAGGAACGAGAAACAGGGCCAGAACAGTAGAGTGACCAGACGGTCACTACGGGGGGATGTTAGGGCGGAAGGGTGGTCCACCATTTTAGGAGGATGACCACCCCAGAATGAAGTGGACGACCGAGAAGGAAGAAGGACGAGGTTGCCAACTTACTGGTGGTTACGGTAGGTTGGGCCTCCTGGAGGTGGGGTAAATGGCCGTCATTCTGGGCTGGTGGCCGACCTATATGCTGCCTAACTTTAAACAAAATAACTCCAGCTCGCAAGCGCTGATATAAACGGAACGTTATGTCATGGCAAACGACATCCTTTCTCAATACAGCTGTTAGCTACTTCGACTACAGCGGAGTGGCCTTACTGGAACTCATAATA